TCCTGGTTCATCAGCTCACTCTCTTAAATTGCCGCACCATGATGGTGCTCCTTTGCATTCCTGAGTTATTAAAGGGAAGGTGGTGGATTCCCCAATGTCTCACCCGGTGTTTCCTCCAGGACGTTTTTCAGCTTCCTCTTTCTCAGTGCCACAGCCCTGTTTTAACTTCTTTTTTTTTCCCACCTTCCTCTCTGTTTTCCTGGTCGAGTCAGGCAGGTTTAAATAAAAAAAAAGCACCATCAAGTTTCTTAGCTGTTGCTACTATAGGGCAGGGCTGGCTTGTGGGGAGAAGGTGGACACTCCCAGGATATGCACAGAGGATGACAACAGAAGCGCACGTATTTTGACGGGCATTTCATGTGAAAGTGAGTCACTCATGAAATCGCTGCACAGTGAAAGTGGCCAAAGCTGCGGCGTTAAAATGAAGCCCGGCTGGCTTTTTTCTTTCTTTCTTTGATTCTGTTGATTTGGAACGTACTGATGAAAAAGGGCCCAGATACATCGTCTTACAGACGTTACTGGGTATTAACATGAAAGATAAGCCATTTTTGTGATCAAAGAATTAAAGTTCTCAGTAAGTTAGGAGGGTACACATGGGGTTTCAGTCAAGTAGGGAATGAATAAGGATTTTTTTGGAAGTTTGAGGCATTGTCTTCACCCAGACTAGAATAAAAACAGTATAAATAAGAACTGCTCACTTTGGTTAACAGGGAGAGTAACAACTGGGACCTTTGGAGCTAAAAAGCAATGAAGAGTTACGGCTTTCCATCAAAGCACCAATTCCTGTGGGAGAGATGCCACAACAAAGCCACATTTCTTGTGGTTCAGGCAGACATGAACACACCCAGTGCTGACCAGAAAGAGTCAGAATTTGGTCTTGCTGGAGAAGCCTGTGGTGAAGGGAGCCTTTCACCCTCTGTGAGCCTTGCCCAGTGTGGGGCAGAGTTGTCCAAGTGCTCCTAAACTTTATTATTCAGTTTCATTGCAAAACGATCTGTGGGCCTTTGTCTTTGCATTAAAAACCACCTTGGCAGAGCCATTTCTCCGCTTCACAAGAAACCACGATGTTCAAAAAGAATGCTCAGGAACTGCTCTGTGCCAATTCCCCTCAGCCCTCCTTGTAGTGGGGATGATGTTGTCACTCCTGAGGGATATTTCACGTGACAACGTACCCAGGAAGGCATCAATCAGATCTACAGTGACTTCAGAAAAATTAATCTCCCAGTTTTCCAGCTAGTTCCTTTAATCTGGACACAGGGTGCGATAAGGAGTTGACTCACTGAGGAAGTCACCTGCAGGACTGGGGGACGTTTATTGACTCCTGTTGTGCTGCCACTCAGAGCTTTGACAGCTGAGCTTGTTGTGCAAGGGCTGCAATCAAACGTGACTGTAAGCTCATCTTTCACCCTCCTCTGATGGTGGATTCCCATTGCTCTGATAACAGGTGATTACGTTGGCATCACGGGACACCAAGAGTCAGATGCTCTCCAGAGTAACACAAGCTAAAAATGAAGTTCTCTATGGATGATGAACTACAGGCCCCCAAGGGGATGAGCTCCCATGTCCAGCCTGTACACAACTGACCCCAATGAGAAGGGCTGCCGACTCTAATCGAGGTCTGCAGTTAGAGAAAGCCATGGAGCGGTCAGCGCAGCTTGCACGGAGTGAAGCCAGTGCCATGAGTATATGGAAAGGGACTGAAAGATGGGCTGACCCCGTTTCTGGGACACCACCAGGACATTTCCAGTGACCATGAAGCTTTGCTCCAGTGAGACAACCATGTTATTGGGTGCTCCTCTCCTTTTGCCAAACCCCCGAGGCGGGGAATGCCACCACCGCTGCCTCTGCAAATACCATTCAGTGTTACCATGCCAGAGAAGATTATACAAAAGGTAATTACTCTTACCATGAGGAGCTGACACTCAACTACTCATCCCTGATGCTAGTCACTACAAGTGTTGCACCCAGGACAGCTTTTGCATAGGAGCTAATAGGATATGTCGTGGGTACCTCACACCTCCCAGGCACGTTTAGCAGCTGTATAAAAGCTCTCCCTCTATTAGAGCTCGCTGGTCACATCACAAAGCTGTTCTCACCAGGGACTTGGGTAAGTCTGGTTTGCGCTGAGCTTCCATAGCTGAAATGCAGATTTACTTCTGAATTTTTTTTGGTGAAACTAGTTGGTTTGAATTGCCGTCTTGGAGCAGGAGTGTGCCCTCAGCATCTGCACTTGGGCATCTGAGCCCACGAGATGCTCCTGAAAAATGTGAGGAGAGGTGGTTAGCAGTAATTGGGGTGCTGCTACTCTTGTTTGCTTTTGGGGGTGCCTGGCAATGCTCATAGCAGCTTTGGTGTACCAGGGAGCATAACGCTAGAATTGCTGTGAGCAGGTTTGTGTGCAGTTGTGGTATTGCTACCCTTTAATTGGCTTTGGTTCCCTAATGAGGATGAACTTTTTGATGCTGGGACTGGGTTGTGAACCTCTGCCCACCCGCGGTGCGATGGGATCCCCAAGCAACGGTGCCTTGGGTGTTCTTTACCTCTCCTGCTATGGTAGATATAGCCAAAGCTTCAGAGCTTCTTTCTGGGTTGAGCTTTTTTTCCAATACATCAGCAAGAGGTCGGAGGCAGTTGCCAAGCAAAAGCAGGAAGGGAAAACTGGATTTAATGGTTGAAAGGTGACTCTGGGATCAGCCATTCCTCTACTGACCTCCAAGATCAGTTCTCCCCCATGGAGGTGCAGGTGATGGGGAGGGAGTTGCAGTCTGGGGAGATAGTGCTCCGTGTCTCAGAATTGCCACGCTGTTTGATTTGGTGCCATGTTTCAGAGTTAGAAATTACGATTTGGGTCCTTGGCTGCTGTTGATGTGATTCGGAGACCATGGCATACGCGGGAAGTGTCTCTGGCACCCTGGGAAATGAGTCAGTCCTGTGGCCTTCAGAATCATGGAATCATAGAATCGTAGAATCATAGAATCGTAGAATCATAGAGTGATGGAATCATGGAATCACAGAATCACAGAATCATAGAATGTTTTGGGTTGGAAGGTACCTTAAATATCATCTTGATCCAACCATGGCAGGGACACCTCCCACTAGACCAGGTTGCTCAAAGCTCTGCCCAGCCTGGCCCTGGACCCTTCCAGGAACTGAGCCATGTTGTGTCTCAAGGCTCTGCTTTCTCACTTGTCGTTTCAGTCCTGCCAAAACTCCACCAAGATGTCGTGCTACCTCCACCAGTGCCTCCCTCCAGTCTACCAGGACACCATCCCCATCAAGTGCCCGCCGATGTATGCTACCAGACACCTGCCAGTGCCTACTTGGCACTCGACATTGTGCACCCCACAGTATGTGACCCCCTGCGTGCCCCGGCAGCGGATCATGTCCTCCAGCATCCCCCACCAGCAGTGTGTGACCAAGTGTGTGCCACGGCAGCAACACATCACCAAGTGCATGACCCAGCGCGTCCTTCAGCAGCCCTGCGTGACCCGCTGTGTGACAACGTGCGTGCCGCAGCAGCAGTGCGCCACCGAGGGTGCGTCACAGCAGCCATGCGTGACCAAGTGCATGCCACAGCAGCAGCGTGTGACCACGTGTGTGACCCCTTGTGCCCCCCAGCAGCAGAGCGCGAGCGAGTGCAGCCCGCAGCAGCACGTTGCCAGGTGCGTGACCACCTGTGTCCCGCAGCAGCCGTACCCAAGCAAGGGCATCCTGCAGCAGCAGGGGGCCACCAAGTGCGTCCCCCAGCAGTGCGTGACCACGTACAGCCCGCAGTGTGCCGCCAGGTGTGTCACCACCTGTGTCCCGCAGCAGCGTGCCGCCAAGTATGTCTCACACAGGTTTGTGACCTCTTGTGCCCCGCAGCAATGTGCCACCACGTATGTCCCGCAGCAGTGTGCGACCAGGTGTGTGACCAAGTGTGTCCCGCAGCAGTGTGACACCGAGGGTGCTACCATTTGTGTGCCAGAGCAGTGTGTGACAACTTATGTCCCACAGCAGCAGTGTGCCACCAAATGTGTCCCGCAGCAGCAGTGTGCCACCAAGTGCGTGCCACAGCAGCAGTGTGCCACCAAATGTGTGCCACAGCAGCAGTGTGCCACCAAATGTGTGCCACAGCAGCAGTGTGCCACCAAATGTGTGCCACAGCAGCAGTGTGCCACCAAATGTGTGCCACAGCAGCAGTGTGCCACCAAATGTGTGCCACAGCAGCAGTGTGCCACCAAATGTGTGCCACAGCAGCAGCATGTGACCAAGTGCATCCCACAGCAGCATGTGACCAAATGTGTCCCGCAGCAGCAGTGTACCACCAAGTGTGTGCCACAGCAGCGATGTGCCACCAAGTGTGTGCCGCAGCAGCAGCATGTGACCAAATGTGTGCCACAGCAGCGATGTGCCAAGTGTGTGCCACAGCAGCAGTGTGCCACCAAGTGTGTGCCACAGCAGCAGCATGTGACCAAATGTGTGCCACAGCAGCAGTGTGCCACCAAGTGTGTGCCACAGCAGCAGTGTGCCACCAAATGTGTGCCACAGCAGCAACATGTGACCAAGTGCATCCCACAGCAGCAATGTGCCACCAAGTGTGTCCCACAGCAATATCAGTCAGGTGGAGTAAAAATTTCGAGTCACTCTAAAAAGTACTGCTCTGCTTCCAAATGGCCCTGGTAAAAAGGAGCCGGGGAAAGGAAGGTCCGTGGAAAAAAGAGCAAGGCAGGGTTATTTATCTCCTCGTGCCACCTGCCGACTCGTTCCTATCGCTTAAGTCTGCTTTATCTCTGTTTTCCGGGGCTCGCCCTGTAGCTCAGTTTTATTTTGGGGCAGGGGGTGATGCTATTTCCATGGCTGCACTCCGGGTGCCTGTGGCTTCCACCTTAATCTGCTGCGAGGCGTAGTTTAGCGGGATGCTACGAATTCTCACCTAACTGAAATGAATTTAAAAAAAAAAATGGAAAAAAATAATTTAAAAAAAAAAAAAAGAAACACCGAAGGAATCCTGAGCACGACAGCATCCAGAGGACCGGCGGCGTGGCCGGTGGAGGGCTGGTCCACGTCCGGCTCCGGGTTCAGTCCTGGCTTTGGGAGACAATGCTCAGGTTAACTTGGATTCCGTGAGGCTGTGAGTTCTTCGAAAGAGTGGTTTTTCACTCACAGATTTGGAAACCAAAGGTAAATTTGCTAAGCAAACAAGTATATGAATCTTATTCCAAGGGCCTTCATTTCGGGAGGCGGCCAGAAATCCCTGCCGCTTCCAAACACTGACTCTGCGCTGGCGTCGGCAGAGTTTCCAAACACGACAGGATTTCTGATTCGGTGAAGTTGATCCTTGCTGAGATTTTTTTTTTTTTTTTACTTTTCATGCACTTGGTTGCTTTGAATAATATTGAAAACGTGACCTGAAACGCAAGAAAGTTTTCTGTAATAACGTTGAAAGTTGGAGCACGACTGTTTTACAAAGGTTTGAGCTGTAAGAGCAATCAAATACATTCTTTATGCTGCCTGAACTTTACATTGTAGTGAAACCGAACTGTATATATATATGTATACTTATATTATACATATATATACTTAAATAAATACGGTTGTCTGACCTCAGATCAAACATCTTGTCTTTTTGCCCTCTGGTTGTTCTTCTTCATTATATGTAGTGAACTCCCACCTGAAAAATACAAAAATCCTGTCGTATGCCCTGCCATTAAGAAAATGAGCAGTAGCTCACGCTAAGTAGATCATGGGTATTTGGAGGGCAAAAAACAAGTGTTGCGAGACGAAGAGGAGGGTGTGACCAGGGCTGGGACACTGCCCTGCATCCTGCTCTGCTCCACCCTTGCTTGGAGACCTTGAGGCGCCACCATGAGCTGCCCTCTGAAGGCAAGGAGGGGTCCAAGACCTGAGCATCTGGCAAAGTCAAGGTGACATCTGGCCGCTTCCCCAAGGTGCTCGGTGCGTTGTGGGGGAGCAGGATCCTTCCCACATCTCCTGAATGTCCAGTGATGGTGCTTTGGCCTGGAGAGGCAGCTTGGAAGAGCAGCAGTGACCATGACTCGCATTCTACCTTGCAGAGCCAGGGATGCTCTCACAACCCAACATTTTGTGTCCCCTTTAAAGAAACGAGCAATGATGTGGCCTCCTGAGGAGCTGTCATCTCGTTGTGGCGTTCCCATTGGAGCCAGAGCCCAGGGATCATTAGGAAAACCTTCCTGGGTAGTGGGTGACCGGGTGGCACAGGACCTCATCCCCCAGGGGTGGAGCAGCCACCAGAGCGTGAGGCTTGTTTTGGAGGTGATTGTGACCAAGTCTGGTCCTGCCTCTGACTCACGCTGTGCCACCAAGTGTCCGCAGCGCAACGTGCCTCAGTTTCCCCTCTGCTTAATTGGGAATAATAATAGCCCCCACGACAATGCCCCATGTGGCACTGGGTGTCTCTCTGAGATGAAAGGACTTTACAGCTGCTCATTAAGAACATTTGGGTGACAGCACACGATGTTATCACCAGGTTAATATTTTGCTACCTGCGCTGGAAACACTAAACTGGATATTAGCATTCCTTGAAGGCTACTTGAGCTGGAGCTTGCCCAGGAACTGCATTTATGGTGCTTATAAAAACTGTATTCACCTGTTTACCTGCTCTCTGACACCAGCTTGATTCCTAAAAGCTTGGGTCAGATCACTTAGCATTAAAAAGGGTGTTGCAGTTCAGAGGAGCGAGACACAATGGAAGTTAAAAAAAATCCAAGTTAGATTCAGTCCTTTTGTCTTCAGATGCAGAAAAGACGAGCCTAGAGAAAGCATTCTTCTCTGTTTTTTGTGGCTCTCAATATTCTTAAAACTTAGAACCATTAAGAAAAGACCCTTAAGATCACCGAGTCTAACCATAAATGTAACAATGCCAAGTCCACCAATAAACCATGCCCATAAGTGCCACGTTCACACATCATTATTTTTTTTTAAATACTTCCCCAGTGCTTCATATCAGAGAGAAGTTTTCCACCTACTCCGTTAAAAGTTAACTTATTTATCCTCTTTTTGTTTCAACATGTGGCGTCTCCTCTGGTTTCCCAGCATGCCGGAACCCAATCCAAAGATATCATATTTGCATTGAAGGAGAAAAAAAAATAAATTAATGTCAGGCCCTCCGCTGAGGTGTGGTGTTGGGTGGTGTGGTTTAGGGGTGAACTTGTAGTGTAGGGTTAACGGTTGGACTTGATGATCCCAAGGGTCTTTTCCAACCTGAATTCTTCTATGATTCTATGATTCTATGATGCAGAAATTGTGACATAAAAAATGCGTTCCCTGTTGCCACTTACTTATGCTCACTCCACTGGTAATTTTTCCCTTGGGTTTATTTGTGGCGTAAACAGGGAACAAAGGGGGGGATGACTGGCACGGCGACTGTGTGGCAGAGCAGGAAATGGGATTTGTGTTTTCAGGACACGGACCCAGTTGGATTCGGCCACCTTTCCCCAGGCAGCCCCTGCGCTCCTGCTCGTTGCCCCTCGGCCCCTTTGTTGTGCCGGAAAAGCGTCACCTCTTTCAGCAGGTTATTCACTCGGCGGCAAGGCCTTTTTAGTAGCTGTCCTGCCCTTAGCCCAAGGCTTTCTCAGTCCCCATCACCCGTCTTTTCCCTAGGTGCCCTGTGTAAGTGAAGGAAGCCTGCATGCCACAGTAATTACGGGCTGTGAAAAGTCGCCCAGAGTCCTTCCTGGCCGGTGTTTTCAAAGGCACCAATGGGACTTACGCCGACAGCTCCCATGGAAATGAGGAAACCCTTGAGCTGTCCCTTTGGTGGGCTCACCTGCCACTTCTTTCCGGGTGGGGAGGTGTGTTTGAGCTTGTCCTCATGTGCAATGGGTGAGCAGGGATACTTTGGCACCGGCTGTGGGGATTCATAGCAGTGAGGGTCACGAGCAGCCCCTGCCCTTGGGTCCCGGGGGTTCCTCCAGTTCAGCACATTGGATCAAGAGGTTCCACCTCCCAGATGTCCCAGCAGTGGTGACAGTGGCCCCACAGGGCCAGGACAGCCATTCCCGCCGGGCACCAACCCCACCTGGGTCCCCCCGGGGAGGGAGGCACTCCGTCCCCCGCCGGCACGAAGCCGCACGTGGCTCGGCCGGGACTGGCAGGCAATTAGAGCATCACCCAACCAAACAACCTCACTCCCCCAGGGCACTTATTCACTGTATAAAAGCTTTGCCATCGCGGGGCTCTCCTAGGCACTTCTCTCCGGTTGTTCTCACTGATGAAGTGGGTAAGTCTGGCTTTTAATGGAGCTCCTGAAATGCTGCTTTAGTCCTGGGTGGCCGGAGCGGGCAGTGGTCCTACCTGCATACCCATGGAGAAGCATCCTCTGGGGATGTTGCCTTCAGCACCGCGGCTCTGTCCGCTGGAGCATCTCCTCCGGGCTAACCTGAAGAATATTGGGAAAGCAATTCCAGATGGACTGTGAAGTCAGGAGTGGGATTCGTGGGTTTCTCTACGCTTTCTGTTAGTTGTAGGCCAAAGGAGGCTGTTGACTCCACAAATGCTGGCAGGAGTCAACTACGAGCGTGCATGTGAAAAGGCAACTCCTCTAAGAGAAGTGGCACGGAGGAATTTGCCAACCTTCTATGGAATTTAAACAAAACATGTCAGATAATAGGAAGAAGCTGATCAACTTCAATGCCAATGAGGAAGTCAGCAGAGAGACATTCTAGCTGAGTCTGAACATATTAACATTTCTGTTTAGGCTAATGATAAAAATAAGCCTGAGATGCAAACGGCCCCCCCGGAAGCAAAAAATACCCCCTACTTTGGAAGCTTTTTATTGTGATGAACTTCACCAGATACTTCAGCGTTGTTCGTGGAGTAGTAGCAATTGCTATCGTTGTTTTTCAACAGGTTGTGTCTATTAGCTGGTGATGATTATAATTGTAATGCTAATAAGTTTTCCTAATGATAGCAACACAGAGCATTGTTATTGCTGGTAGTCACCCAGTGTTAGACTTTTGGAAGATAAAATGCTTTACTGTAATTATAGACAGAGCTAGGAGTGTTCAGAAAATGCAATTTCTTTACAGTCATTTAGTTATATGACTTAATCTCTGAGCAATGTTGAAATGAAAAAAAATTTGATCAGAGTACTTTTCACATCAGTGGTTCCAGTACCTGTTGTACTCAGAACAATCCTGTTAAAATCTCAGAAAACTTCCTTAAAGCTGCTATTTTCCAGAGTGGAGAATGAAGGAGTATGGTTTCTCCTGTGGGTCTCAGGGCCAAGGCATAGTGAGATGCTTCACAGCGGTTTTGGGAGGACCTTCAGATGGTGCCACCTGGTCCCTTCCCCAGGGATCCAGTCTCAGTCAGGGTCCCCTCCGTGCTGCTTGCACGGGGGCTGTCGGGGTGAGGTTGCACTCTTGGAGCTGCTATGCCAGGCATTTTGAGAGTGGGGCTTGGTGTGCCTGTAGCCCAGGACTGGAGGCTGCTTTAAAAGGGTGTTGTCATCTCAACTCAGAGAAACTTAACGCCAGCTAAGATTTGAGACTGAGAGCTTCTCCTTTCCTGCTGTGGTTACACCAAATACTTAGAAACCACATTTGTATTTCTTCTTTTCTTGAAGACGCCTAAACAACAGTAGGAAGCTGGGGCTGCAAATCTTGCAGAAATAGTGAAGCTGATGCTATGATACTGAGCTC